CGGTGAATATTGGCTGGGACTAGATCGTATCCACGCTATGACGTCACAACGAAGTTTCCGGCTTCGTGTTGACTTGGAAGACTTTGATAAGAACACGCGATACGCGGAGTACGATACTTTTAGTATCGCTGATGAAGCTGACAGTTTTCGCCTCTCTATTGGCAACTACTCAGGTGTGGTATAAGTAGTTCTACTCCAAAAGCTGAAATAAACAATGTCATTCCCACAACCACCACCACCACCACCACAACCAATTACAACAGTAACAACACCATCGAGGCTCACAACTAACATCATCACAATTAAATCACCAGCATACCCCTGCTGCCTTTAATGCTATGCCTTATGGGTATTTTCTGTTCTAATTTAAGGTGATGCAGGTGATTCTCTCCACTATCACAATAATATGGCTTTCTCCACCAAAGATCGAGACAAAGACAAGAGCAATGGCGCATGCGCCGTGGCCTACTCTGGTGCATGGTGGTATGCTAGCTGTCACCGCAGTAATCTTAATGGCCTTTATTTGCGAGGCACCACGAGCCAGTATGCAAAGGGTGTAATTTGGTATACCTGGAAAGGCCATTATTATTCTCTGAAGAGGTCCGTTATGAAAATTAAGCCTAAATATTGAAGATTTAAATTAACCCTTTCTTCTTTGCATACAAGTCACGCAAAACATAGACTAGGGGTGAAAATAAAACATGCCATATTTGGTATAAAATACACGCACATGGATTGGTCGAAAACAGGAGTGCTATAGAACATGATGTAGAGATAAAGGAAAGGAGGTTATTCCGGGTGAAAGGCTCTTGGAAATAAATTCGGAAAAAAATACAACACACAAACGGATGACTCCACTCAACCTGACTTTCGTTCTGTCTAGTCAGAATAACTGATCTCGTATACTGTTCTTTCAAACGTTTTAAAACAAAACGACGCTAGCTCCGGACGTGGAATCAGGCTTTAGTTCACATAACGTTTGGCATCACACCAGCTTTAGTTGAAACTGTCATCAGGTTGACTTAAAAATTTAAATCCGACTCTTCCGACGACGCTTGTTGTTTGGCTCGTTTACCACAACCCCAAATGTGAGTCGAACTAGAAGTGCTTGGTTATTTAGACAAATGGAATTAATGAATTATATAAAAGCACTGCGTCACTTATGGCAAGCTCTAGCTTCTCAAATTTATTCCACATGCTAATGTACAGCACAAGTCCATGCATGTGGCGGCACAAGTTTCGAAAATTTAAAGGAGGATGTTATCAAGGAATGGTCATGAATTGGTCTGGGCAGGATTGTTTAAAGCCCCATTAGCTTCGTAGGCTTTAAGATAGGATTAGCTCAATCGAGGTTTGAACTACTCGGCCCTGTCTGGTTACTTTTCAAGAACACTATATGCAAAAAGCATAAAAAATGTGACAAAGAATGAAAACAAAAAAAAATATCCAATGCTTACTCGCTTTTAGTACTAGCAATACTTTTTTTACAACTTGATATGAATTTTTCGGTTATCGATGTCAAGACAAAATCTTCCGCAAATTACAAAAATAGTACATTCTAGACTTCAAAGAAAGCCAAATGGCAGTGACATCATACCTAGTAACAAGATGAATCAGAGATCAAAGCAATCTTGGTTCAGTCTTCACGCCTGAAAGACAAATTAGATCATTTTGTTTTCCGCTTTAGAGCATTAATAAAGGGACACTGTCAATGGCACGCATGCGCTAGTAAACTTGAAAACACTAGGCTAGTGTTTTTAAGTTTATGACTCCAAGTTGGCGCGACATAAATCAGCTCATAAACGTAAACAGATCTGGAATATTCCAAAGTGTGTCAAAAGCACCACAAAATGATTTACCTCGAAGGTAATACTTTCAAAGTCCGTTAGAAGTGAGACTGTTACTGCGCATGTTATCCATTGACAGTGTCCCTTTAAAAAGACAAAGAAGACAAAAAAGTTTTTCAAATGATTTAAATTAAGAACGGTATTTACACCTACCTTTGTAAAAACAAAAATGTGTCAGATGATGTGAGGTGTTATGCGAGCGCGCGCTGGCGACTTGAAAACCCAACTTGAAAACAATGCGTGCTCACGTCATTTTCAACAAATCACAAATCGAAACTTAATATCGACATCCTCCAGTCTCTCAACAGGGAGCCCAAGCAATGACATTGAACCTAAAATAGTTGAAAATAAAATTTTACATAAAAAATGGTCTATTTTTATTTTATTAAGTGTCAAAATGCATTATAAATGGGTTTTAAAAAATTTCATCTCCCTATAAATAAGTCCCGAGGTATTGTGTTCTCCGCACTTGACGTCAAATTTATTCTTTTGAATTCCTTTTGTATTGTAAAAATTTCAAAAGAATAAATTTGACGTCAAGTGCGGAGAACTCGATATCTCGGGACTTATTAAAAGGGTGTATATAGAGTGCAAGTCACATAAGCATGAAAGTATGTAGTGCTAAATAAGATTTAGTTATCAACTAACTAAGAATTGAGAACAATGCTACAAAGGAATTTGAATAATTGGCATTGTGTTTATGCTTTGTTGAATTCTTAGTTAGTTGATAACTAAATCTTATTTAGCAATACATATTAAGAATTGTTTCATGCTTATGTGACGTGCACTCTATACATTGCTCCCTGTGGTCTCTCACGTATTGCCTTCCGCTAGACGGCAGAAGTGCGGGCTCTGGGTACGAGATTGAATAGAGGATCGAATAGAGAAAACAATTTCCAAGAAGACAAGAATAGAAGATGTGTGCGGGGAAAGTAATTTATTTTTGAGTTAGAATGTCGGCAGGTGAAAATAAAAAATTCTCGGCAGGAGATGCAGATGTGATTAAAAGCATAATTGTTGATTAAAAAGCTAGACATTATGTCACTTCATCCTTAATTTGACTATTAAATAGGGGCAAAGATAAGTGGATAGGCATAGTGAAAATGTACCTTAGGGGTCGAACTTTCAGTAATGATTTGGCTCTCTCCTAAGACAAGGTACGTTTTTACCAAAAGGTTATGTAGATCGCACCTCAAAATGATTATCAAAGTTCTGAGTCTCTGCTTTATGGCTGCACTGCCTGTACTCGCCCTTGATCCTGAAGTAAAAGGGCAAAAAGACGGGTTCATGTTTGGAAATTTTATCCATCTCAAAGGATACAGACTTAAGGGGAATCCTTTGAAGACGAAAAAATTGTTGAGCTATTGTGACTGCCTGGTTGAGTGTATTGCCGATATCCGGTGCATGTCTGCCAATGTGAATATGACTGCAGATAACAATGGGCGTTTTGACTGCGAATATTTGGATTTTGATAAATACGAATATGGCCAAAATTTGACTAAAGTTGAGAAAGTGAGTCATTACGCCTTTCCGGTAAGTTATAGGAATAAAGTAAAAGTAGAATACTGATAAAACAGGGAAGTAAGAGGTAAAGTGTTCTCTTTTTAACAGACCTGACGAAAAAAACCCAATCATTATCCAAATATGTCTTTTTTCTTTTTTTTTTCTTGAGCATCAAACAAAACAAGGTTTCGTTTCTTCATAACACATGTTATATCTGTCAAAATTGCGGGATAATAGCTTTATCACAGAATTGCCTGTATGGAATACCTATATATTTTTTTTCTTTTGAATAGTTGTTATTTAGAATTTCATAATTTGCGTGGATGTTCAAGCTCGCACACAGGGCGCCCAGGCACTTGTTTTGCTGTATTGCTCTCACCTAAATAAAAAATATTTTTACTTAAAATTATCTAAAATGTTTTCAAAGAAAGAGTTAAGCTTTGTCAAGGAGCATTGCATAAAATTGTATTTAAAGACTTGAATGATTTATTGTTTTATTGCTACAAGATGTTGGTCGTAAGAGATGACCACACTCGTCAGCCAAGTTACAATGATGAATGAATGACCGTCAATAACAAACTTTTGTACATTCAAAAACAAAGTAATCAATATACCAACTAACAAAAGACAAAAGACGGGTGCTGTTCTTCTAAATAACTGTTCTTGCACGAATTTTTTCCTGGGAAATGGATTTTGAGATATATTGTTTACAATCTCACAAGCACTGTGACACCTTTCCTTCTTTAAATAATTTTGTTCTTAGAAAACGTTTTTAAGGTCAAATAGACTTATGTAACGTTTTTATGGTCAAAAACGGCTTATATCTTTTTTAGTTAGGAAATTTTTATTTTTCCGGCAAAAATTCTTAGAAAGTATTCAATTCCTTGCCCGGAGAGTTCTTTCTTCCTGAAATTTCTCTCTGGCAAACAGTTGTGGCTTACAGGTGGCTGGGACATAAAGAACAGATATATTTCTCCGCCAGCAACCCGTCGGCTCCTCCCATTTATATATTGCATCTAGTCAAAACTGGATGTAAATTAGATTGCGTTTTTAAACTACCAGCCAACTTTAACGGTCATTCATTCATTGTAACTTGCCTGACGAGCGTGGTCATCTCTGATGACCATACGAAACAAGCTTGCATCAATAAAACAATTTTTACAATATTTTAATTTACGTGTGGAGAAAAATATAAAAGTGTCTTTAAAATCTTTATTCATAAAAATGCTTATACTAATTAAAGAAAAAATGAACAGAAAAAAAGGGTTCAAAAGTCTCAAAGAATGAAGGACACGAAATTTACGGCTTCATCTAGGGTTTCAATCGCGTACCACGCAATACATTGATCGACACCGCAGTGAAAGCAACACAAGTGCTGAACCTGGACGCCCTTTGATTCGCACAATGCCTCTATTTTTTACACGCTTATTTTGCTCGTAGAGTTTTATTTTGTAGTTTGGAGGCTCGGTTAGATAATAAGAGAGGGAAAAAACATTTTTTTTTCAACTGCCGGCCATTTAGCATTTCCAAGACCTTGACCGGTAATCAGCCAGAAAGACTCAGCGAATTACGCTGTAGTTAGTAAACGTTTAAGGCATCGTGTGATGCCGGCAATTATTTTTTTTTTAGTATTTAAAAATTCAAATTAGTTTTTACATCTATTATTTATAAGTGTGAACTGAGCCATTTTGTCATAAAGGCGTGTTCGAATTTTCAAATGAATTTAAAGCAATCATCGTAAAACAATGATTTTGTTAAGCTTGACATGTTTTTAAAAACATCTCGATTATTTTATTTATACAAGCAGATCAAACGGGCCAGTTTATAACAGACGCTGGAAGGCACCTTGTTCATTCTCGTACCCAGATCCTCCTCAGATCCCAACGGAAAATCGAAGGCTCTGGGTACGAGAATGGCGCCTTGTTTTTAAAAATTTGCTATCTTAAAAAGATTTTCATCATTAACTATAATGCCTACTATAATGCCTACCATGCCACCATACATACCATACATATGTTATCGGCGCGCTTTCTTAGCAAATGCGGATTACCTGTGTTATACGTCACGGTCCCTCGCCTAGCGGGTCTACCCTTAATCTGTGACAAGGTATGAAATACCGGTCACGTGAACGACGATTCAGTATTGTTCCTCAGAAGGACAGTCAACTCCARGCGCGCGCTTGTATTTTTTTTTTTTTGTAAATTTAAAAAAATAAAAGCTTTAGTGGAGAATTTTGCATTGCAAGAATTTTTTTTTGTGCAGGAGTTTTTGTTCCCAAAATCTTCCACCTTCCTCCCTCAAAATTCTTATGGATCGCGCCTTCCAACAAAGTCCCGCAGACAAGTCAGGCATGGACAAAATTTTACATTAATTGAGAGTAATGTAAAAAAATATAATGACCGAGTGTCTATAACGTATACAAGGGACACTGTGCTCCCACACTCACTATCTCTAGCACAAAACAAATTACATGAAAAAGTAATGAAAAACGTTGTTTTCATTTCAAAAATTTCTGAAAGTAATCTAGTTAACCGTGATTCGAAAAACTTATTAGTCATGAGTCGTGAAATAGTCAAATTTTTAGCCGTTAGTCGCGATGCGTACCACCCCATTGAGACCCTCTTTAATGTGTTAATTCCCAGACTTCTATTGATTTTTCATATGGTCAATTAATGACGCGTTATTATAAGTCATTCAAAAAACCACGCATTGAAAATCTAAATTAGAAATGCTCTAGAAAGTCCATTGTGTTGGACATTTTTCTACTCGTAAAAGGAGGGTCAAAGGCGCTTCTCAAAAGACGTGAACCGGAAAAATTAACCGTGAGCATGCGTAATGAAAATGTGAAGAACACGTTACCTTTAAAAGTGGGGAATATCTTATCAGTATCTTTAAAAGACTTCGATCCTTTAAATTATTATTGCAATTGACGAGTTTCTTAGGCTTCCTATAATTATCTTACAGTACCCAAGTTTGCCATCAGACTGTGCGGCCATCACCAGCCAAAACAAGCAACACTCAAATGGAGTCTACCGTATCAGTCTCCCACCGTCCTTCTATGTCTATTGCGACATGGTAACGACTGGCGGAGGATGGACCATCATACAAAGACGGCTTGACGGCTCAGTTGATTTTAACCGTGTATGGGCCGACTACAAACAGGGGTTTGGTGACAAGAACGGTGAATATTGGCTGGGAATAGATCGTATCCACGCTATGACGTCATTAGGCAAATTCCGGCTGCGCGTTGACTTGGAAGACTTCGAGGGAAACACGCGATACGCGGAGTACGACTCATTCAGTGTGGCTGACGAAGCTGACAATTATCGCGCTTCAATTGGCAACTACACAGGTAAGGGACTTTGTAATATTTATAAGAAGAGGGGGTTGAGAATACAGAGTGGGGTGTAGTGGGCGGGCAGAAAAATCTAATTTTATGTGCTTAAAGAGGGGGCACGCCTAAAATTTGCTATAACTTTACTTGGAAACTGAAAGGTCAATGGTGTCAGATACTTATTGAAGTGGAAAACCTCTCAAGAAAAGCGTGCCACAATTTTCAACAACTCTTTATTCACGAATAATGAATAAATTAATTGAGGTGGATAGGCCAATAACATGTTAAAATCCAGGCCCTTGGAGATATAAAAAGGCGGCCAAATAGCCATTGACTTATTAGTTGTTGATTCCCCCATGAAATCGTAATATATATATAAACAGTAAACAAAGTACTGTTATGTTTGCAGGAAGTGCCGCTGACTCTCTAACCAATCCCGATAACCCCATAAATGGTATGCCTTTCTCCACAAAAGATCGCGACAACGACAAAAGTTCTTCAAGTTGCGCTGCATTTTACGAAGCAGGCTGGTGGTTTAAGGACTGCCATAATAGTAACCTAAATGGTCTATATTTGCGTGGAATACATAGTCAGTTTGCAAAGGGAATCGTTTGGAAAGAATGGAAAGGTTATTATTATTCTCTGAAGAGATCCGAGATGAAAATTAAACCAAAAGTTTAGCTTGACCTTAACCTATCCAATGGACATAACGAAAACAGTGATCGAGTTATAGCAGTCGTCATATTAAAGGCTGTACTTTTTTTATTGAGCACATATACCAGTTTAGTCTAGTCAAAATAGAGAAATAAAACTCCAGCATAGAGCAGATGGAAGATCATGCTGTACACTGCATATATATATAAGGGACTGTGCCATAATTACCAGGAGAGAGGAGGGGAGGGGGGGGGGGGGGGTAAAACCAGATTTCTCAAGCAGAAAATTAGCCAGAATCCCCGTCCGAAGCATAAGAAAATAGCTCTTTCCCCCCCTCTGGTATACTAGAAATAACGTCGCCCCCCCTCCCCCAACTATCAAGTTATAAAACAAGCACAAGTGTGGCGAGTCAAATGTAGCAACGCAAAATTCACTAAAGACGAACCCAGATGCAAGAGGTGGCTTACTCATCTGGATCTAAGTGTAAAGACAAAAACTTTCAGGAGGAGCTCACTCGGTCTGTTCTGCTAATTAACTGTTCTTGCATGAATTTGTTCCTGGGAAAGATTTTCAAGTTAAAAAAAGACTTATGTAACGAATTTCTGTGGTCAAAAACGACTTTGATGTTACTTGCGCTTATTATGTCTAATAAATCATCAAGATGTTTTTAATTTCAGCTTCTACATTTTCAATTTATGTGATAAAATCGAAAAAATCATTAGTTGAAAAAAAATCCATATCTTGGTCAATTTCAATCCCACATCAACGAGTCTTTGAAGCTAAATTTCCATTAGTACGTTTCGTATCATAATGGATTTTTCATAAAAAAAGATAACCTAACAAGATCTAGATAGCAGATTAAAAATGATCAGTGTTGTTGATAAAGCTTCTTAAAACTGAAAAAGGAATATCAATATCATATTAATTTTCAGTAAAAGTAAGTAAAAGTAAAATTGTGAATAAAACTTAAGGCCACCCCTCTGTTAATTATGTAATTTTACTTTGAGCCCTCCCCCCCAATATCTTGGCATCATTTTTATGCAATGCTCCCCCCCCCCTCCCCCCCATCATCCTCCTGGTAATTATTGCACTACATTCAGAATTCCGTAGGAAGGAAAAAAATCAATTTAAATTGCACAACAAGTGAACTTCATTTAGTTAGGTAAGTATACATAAATGGACCGGAGCTGATAAGCCCTTTCCATTACAGCCCGCGGATGAAGCGGACTAACAATTAAAAGTTATAGCTAAAATTGTAAATGTTAAACATTTAAATTATCAAAACATAGTTCCAAGTCAGTATCTTGTAGGAATTCTCTGAAATTATATCCGCACGTAATCTGATTGTCTATACAACTTTTTCACGTATTAATACCAAAAAATACAAATATATTCAACAAGACTCCAAATATGCCAAAAAAATGTCATGCCCAACAAAAGACAGCCTAATAAAGACATGAACCGGTCAGGGAGCCGGCAACACAAAATGTTCACATAGTCAAACAAAATGCCAAAAATGATCGATTTTTTATAAAAATGAATGTGTTATAGCTCACCAAAATAACCGAAAACGGTCCATTTTTGATCAAAAAGCATGAGCTATAGCCCACCAAAATGGCGAAAAATGGTCGATTTTTGATCAAAATGCATGGGCTATAGCCCACCAAAATGGCGAAAAATGGTCGATTTTTGATCAAAATGCATGGACT